AGGTTGCCCAGAGAAGCTGTGGCTGCCCCATCCCTGGAAGTGTCCAAGGCCAGGTTGGAGCAACCTGGGCTAGTGGAAGTTGTCCCTGCCCATGGCAAGGGGTGGAACAGGATAATCCTTAAGGTCCCTTCCCACCCAAACTATTCTGGCATTCCATGACACTCCTACACACACGTATTTACTCCAATTCCAGATCCTATATTTCATATAAAAGCTGCCTTTCCCTCAGGAAGCTCCCCAGGCCCCCTCAGCCCAGCAGCTGCTGCTTTGGCAGCTCCCTCCCGCCACAGTTTTGATTGGTGAGCAAATCCCTCTGCCAGGAAAACTCCTGCCAGCTCAGCAGGCAGCATCTGCTGGATCAGCAAGGGCTGGGATTTGCTGCTGGAAATGCTTCCCTGCCAAGGCTCTGGAGCAGGAGCTGCCTGTGCATTAATCTCTGCCCGGAGCGGGGCCCAACACGCCGGGTCTGCTCCCTGCGAATCCTGGGAATCCTGGCAGCCGAGAGCCCTCTGACACAAAGTGGGTTTGTGCTTCAAGAGGTTTAAACCCCTGCAGGGATTAAATTCAGAGGGGAAGGATGAAGAGGCACAACGATCCCATCAGGGGCACAATGATCCATCAGGGGCACAATGATCCATCAGGGGCACAATGATCCATCAGGGGCACAATGATCCATCAGGAGGGTGAAGAGGAACAATCATCCCATCAGGAGAATGAAAAGGAACAATCATCCAATTTGGGGGCACAATGATCCATCAGGAGAATGAAAAGGAAACTTGATCCCATCGGGGGCACTATGATCCCATCAAAGGCACAATGATCCATTGGGAGAATGAAGAGGAACAACAATCCCACCAGAGGCACAGCGATCCCATCAGGGGCACAGTGATCCCACCAGGAGAGTGAAGAGGAACAATGATCCCATCAGGAGAATGAAAAGGAACAATGATTCCATCAGGGGCACAATGATCCCATGAGGAGTCTGGATCCAACATGATCCCTTTGCCTGAGGATGGGAATCAAGTGAGCTCCGTTCCTTCAAGTTCCTCCCCGAATTTTTGCTTTTCTGGCTCAATTCTTTTTCTAGGATGAGAGAAACGCTGCTGTTTTCAGCTGTGGGGTGTCACCAGCAGCTTTTGGGGTTTCCAGCCTGTTGGGGTTCCCCAAGCGTTGTGTATCTCTCTGGAATTGGATTCTGTACCCTTTCATATAAAAAAAAAAAAAAGAAATCAAATGAAATAAATAAAATAAGTAAAATAATTAAAATGCCAATAAGAAGAAAATAACAAAGTTAAAAACAAATTATAAGTTAAAAAACAAATAAAATAAGAAGATAAAATATAATAAAATGAAAATAATAATAATAAAGTTAAAATAAATTATAAGTTAAATAACAAATAGAATAATATAGAATAAAAAGATAAAATAAAATAAATAAAATTAAATTATTAAAATGTCAATAAAAATAAAATAATAATAATAAAGTTAAAAATAAAGTATAAGTTAAATAAGAAAAAAAAAGAAGATAAAATATAATAAAAACCCAAGTAAAATAAAGCACTTAAAATGTCAATAAAAATGTAATAATAAAGTTAGAAATAAATTATAAATAAGTTAAATAAGAAATAAATTAAGAAGATAATATATAAAAAAGATTAAATAAAATAAGTAAAATGAAATAATTTAAATGTCAAAAGAATAATAAAGTTTAAAATAAAGTATGTTAAATAACAAATAACATAAGATAAAATATAATAAAATAAAATAAGTAGAATAATTAAAATGTCAATAAAAATAATAATAAAGTCAGAAATAAATTTTAAATAAGTTAAATAACAAATAAAATAAGAAAATACATAATAAGATAAAATAAAATAAGTAAAATGAAATAATTTAAATGTCAATAAAAATAAAATAATAATAAAGTTAAAAACAGTCTAAATACATTAAATAGCAAATAAAATAAGAAGATAAAATATAATAAAGAGATAAAATAAGTAAAATGAAATAATCGAAATGCCAATAAAATAAAATAATAATAAAGTGAAAAATAAATTATAAACTAACAAATAAAATAAGGAATTAAAATATAATAAAAAGATAAAAATAAGTAAAATAATTAAAACATCAATAAAATAAAATAATAAATTTAAAAATAAATTCTGGATAAATAAAAATTGACAGAAAATATAAAATAAAATAATTTTTAAAATTTTAAAAAAATGAAAAAGCATGTGCAGCTTAAACTCAAACAATGCCCTGAAAACAAGGATTTATATGAAATAACCAGCACTCAAGACATTTACACCATTGACTTTTTGATCCTCTTCTTTATTTCCTGTCTTTCCCCCCCTCAATCATGACTATAAAGGGTTATAAAGATGTGGGAAAGCTATGATTTCTCATCCCAGCTGGAAATTCTCCAGGACCCAGGTTGAACGAGCGGCATTGTGCGAGTCAGGGAATCCGTGGTCAGGTGTAGAAAATACAATTATTCATGGAAGAAGACAAACCAACGGTGGGAAAACTGCTGCAGGATAAGGGAGGAGGGGCTTGAAGGTCCCAAACCATTCCATGATTCCACGGTTATGCCAAGGGTGGCCCTGCCCGTGGCAGGGGTTAGAATGAGATACATAAATATATATCAAATTTAATATATTAACTATACAAATCAGCTAATAAACATATTAAAGGTTACACTCAGTGCTTCTGTCTTCCCAAAGCACATTCCCAGTCACATGCAGGTCTGTAGGAAATGCTTTGGGTGGACTTTTTGAGCACAGGGATTGTCTTGGTAGACCAACTTCAGGGCTCTGCAGGTCGTGCAGCCCAAATCAAGAGATGCAAGACATTTTCCCAGAGTCTCCTGATGCACCACATCCCACTAATCACTCCAAGTTTCCTGGGGGGGGAAACGAGTTAGACTAATTAGCAGCACTAAGTAAACTAATAGCTGGAGGAGAAAGGAGAATTCAAGTTGCATTTGAGGTTTTGGGGTTTTTTTAAAAGATGGTTAAAGCATCTTTAAAGGCAAGGGGTCATTTTTCCGGGAGCTGGAGTAAAGCAGCTCATCAATAATAAAGGAGCAGCAGCAATGCTGGAGCACTTGGGAAAATGCAATTATGGGAATTGCCTGCAAACTGCCCTGGTAATTTGCTTCAAGGAAGCAGCCAAATGCACTTTAATATTTCAGAGATTTCCTTGCGGCAGAGCTAAGAAGCAAAGCCCAGGAACTTCAGTTCTGGGGGGGCAACACGCCGAAAGTCACGTCGGATCGGGGGGTTTTGGTTCACGCCCAGCAAAACGTGACACCAGTTGTGCCCCCTGGGCTGTGTCTGCTCTCTCAGGGCTTCATTTGATTTTCCTTTGGTTAAAATCGCCCTCCTGCAAAAGGCTCGTGTCCAGGTGCTCTGCTCCCAGTGTGCCCTAGGATGCACCAGGATACGGCGCCAGCGCTACGGGATCGCTGCACTGCTGTGCCCGGGCTCTGGGGGTGCCAGTCCCTCGTGGAATTGAACCCGAGCTCAAGCCCAGCTCTTGCTTTGCCTGGGCGGCCCGGGAGTGCTGGAGGGAAGGTGATGGCACCCCCTGGGTACCACGAGCTGTGTCCCGTATCCCAATCCAGAGGTGTGATGCCGTGGTGGACTCATGCCTTGGAGCACTGCACTCCCCTGTGCACCTCCCTGTGCCCCCCTGTGCACGGCCCTGTGCCCCTGAGCACCCCCCAACACCCTCCCGGGCACCCCCTTCACACCCTGCACCCTCCTGGGCGCATCCTCGCACCCCCACGAGCACACTCGGTACCCCGTGTGCACCCTCACCCCGAAATCTCTCTGCACAGATCCCCGTGCACAACCCCACCTCCATCGTGCACACCCCCCCCGGCTTCCCTACACAGCCTAGACCCCCTTGTGCACCCCAGTGCCAGCCCCTGCACCCCCCTGGGCGCCCCTTACGCCCTCCTGTGCCCGCCCCTGTGCAAACCCCTTCAACCCAGCACACCCCCTTTGCGCTCCCTTGTGCAAACCCCTGCACCTCCCGTGCACCTACTTTGCACGACCCCTTGTGCCCTCCCAGTGCCCCCCACCCCGCATCCCCTGTGCCCACTCCGGCCCCTCCTCGTGCCCCCTGTGGGGGTGCGTGGGGGGTGCACAAGGGGGGCACACAGGAAGGGGCACTCGGGGCGTGCACAGGGGGGTGCAGGGTTTGCTCGAGCTGTGCACAGTGTTCACCCCCCTCTGCAAATTCCCGAGCACCCCCCTACACCCTACACCCACCTTGGGCACCCCCCGTGCACGACCCTGGACCCTGTGAACCCCGTGCACGACCCCTTTGCACGTCCCTGCACCCCCCATGCCCTCCCCTGCACCCCCATTGTGCACACCCGCCCAAAACCCTGCACCCCCCTCCTGTCCACACCCCTGCGCACCCCTTACACGCCCCCTGAACCCCCATTGT